GAGCAGCTTTCACTGGACAGTCACTACCTGTAATATCAGCATCATCAGCGAGATTTTTCAGAGTCGCAGCCGTGTTAGTCTGTATCCGCAAAAAGAACAGGAGTATTTGTGGCACCTTAGAGGCTAACACACTTATTTGAGCATAAGCTTTCGTGGGCTAAAACCCACTTCATCATATGCATAGAATGGAACGTATAATAAGAAGCAGCAGGTTTTTTTCTCCTGCTGATAATAGCTCATTTTAATTAATTAGCCTCTTACAGTTGGTATGGCTACTTCCACCTTTTCATGTTCTCTGTATGTATATCTTCTCACTATATGTTCCATTCTATGCCTCTGTTGAAGTGGGCTGTAGCCCACGAAAGCTTATGCTCAAATAAATGTGTTAGTCTCTGAGGCTAGGTCTACACTACAGCGGGGTTCCGACCTAAGATACGCAACTTCAGCTACGTGAATACCGTAGCTGAAGTTGCGTATTTTAGGTCGGCTTACCTGGCGGTGAGGACGGGGGAAAGCCGACCGCTGCCGCGCTGCCGCCGACTCCGCTGCCGCCTCTTGCCGAGGTGGATTTCCGGAGTCGACGGCAGAGCGATCGGGGATCGATATTACCACGTCCTCACGAGACGCGGTAAGTCGATCCCCGATAGACCGATTGCTACCCGCCAGATCGGCGGGTAGTGAAGACATACCCTGAGGTGCCACAAGTACTCCTGTTATTATCAGAGATATTGTGCTCATCAGCACAGCTTAACACAGCACTTTGGATGAGGCCAGGGCTAGAACTGTGCAAAGAACTGGTTTTTTGGTTTGCTGGCCATACTGTAAAATCAGGGGTGGGGAATCATTTTAGATCCATCCAAAACAAATTTTAAAAACAATGTTCAGTGACCTGAAAAGTTAAAAAAAAAATCATTTTGGGTTGAATGAAACATTTTGTTTGATCGGAAATGAAATGTTTTGTTTCATTTTTGAGCTTTTTTTTTAAAAAAGGCTTTTACATCTTCTTTTTAATAACGTTGAAGTACATTTCAGAATGAAGGGTCATTTTGAATCAAGAAATCAAAATGTTTCCATTTTTTCAGAATTATTTTAGTGGGTTTTTTTTTTTTTGAATAAAACAGTTTGGCAAATCCGACACGAATTTGTGAAATGTTTCCATCAACCTCAATGTCCATTTTTTGGTGAAAAATAGTTTTGGCTGAAAAATTATGCCCAACTCTAAGGTCTTGCATGTGATCATGCTTGTAAGATTGTAAAGATTGTAAAGCACATAAGAACGGCCATACTGAATTAGACAAACGCTCCATCTAGCCCAGTGTCATGCCTGTGCCAGATGCTTCAGAGTGAATGAACAAAACCAGGAAATTTCGAGTGATCCATCCCCCTGTTGTCCAGTCCCAGATTCTGACAGTTGGAGGTTTTAGGGATACTCAGAGCATGGGGTTGCATCCCTGACCATCTTGGCTAATAGCCATTGATGGACCTAACCTGCATAAATTTATCTAATTTGGTTTGAAACCAGTTATAATTTTAGCTTTCACAACATACCACGGCAACAAGTGCCACACTGTGTTGTGTGAAGAAGTACTTCCTTTTGTTTGTTTTAAACCTGCGGCCTATTAATTTCATTGGGTGACCCCTAGTTTGTGTGTTATGTGAAGAGGTAAATAACACTTCCCTAGTCACTTTCTCCACAACAGCCATAATTATATAGACCTCTATCATACCCCCATTAGTTATCTCTTTTCTTAGATGAACAGTCCCAGTCTTTTAATCTCTCTGTGTATGGAAGCTGGCCCATACCCCTGCTCATTTTCATTCCCATTGTGTAATGGGAGCAGAGTTAAGGTTACCAGGGTGTTGCTGGACTTTAAGGGTACCCTTAATATCCTTTGGTTTTTTTAATGTTATAGGTAATCCACATGGCTGAAGTTTGGCAAAGTTGTAAGAAACTGTAAACAGGATTGTAACTGCCAGCTCCACCTTTAATTCAGAGAGTGTATGTGTGTCTATACAAATGCACCTTAACTCTGCTCCCTAGGAGATGGCAGTAAGTCCCTGGGATTATCTGCATGTACTGACCTTCAGTCACTGAATGAGGTGTAGCTGTACTGAATGGTGGAGGCATTAGCTGGTGCACCTAGGAAGTGGTATGATTGTGGTATAAAGGAACTGGAAGGCTGTGCGCCTCTGGGTGTGTGCGTGTGAGCTTTTCTCTGCAATCCCTGTGCATATGATCAAAGGAAAGAGGTACCTGTTGTACCTTGTGAAATCCAGTATGCCTCATTGCCACGCTGAATGTGCATGCACCAGATATGTGTGTACAGGTCAGATGGTACTTTTGCTGCTAACTCCAGAGCTAACTATGTCTCTGACTCATTTCCCCACCAGGTTTCACCCATTGTTTGTTGTATTCTTTGCTCTTTACACAGCCAAGAAACTAGGCAGAAACTACCTTGGCCCATTTGGTTCCCATTCTGTGCTAACGAAATATACAAGTCAATGCAAGGCCTAGCTACTGGAGCTGGTGAATAACGGATTTCTGGTTCTCTGGCAAGTCCAAAAAATCAGGTGGAAAGAATTCAGATCAACCCCAAACTGATTTTTATTTTTTGGAAATGTTCAGCACACTGGGAAAGTAGGAAAACATTTCGTTTTGGGTCCAAAGAAATGGTTTGTTTCCGTTTCAAGCATCTTTACATTTTTGACTGTTCAGTAAATAAAGGAAATTTTGACACAACAAGTCGTTTTGAACTGGAAAAAATGGAAACGTTTTGAATTTTTAAAGATTTTCTTTTAACCACCACAATTCGTCGAAGACCAGACAAATTTGCCAAACGTTTCAGGGTCGCTGAATCTGCATTTTTCACCCCCAAAATAGTTTTGTGTGAGAAATTTCCCCAAGCTCTACTAGCTGCTTACACACGTCTGCTCTGATTGGTAGCTTCTAAAACATAGAACACAGTGAGCGCCAGGAGTGCTCACAATCTATTTAAAGGAACACTACCCTATTTTCCTATGCACCGCACCTGTGTTTTCTGAACCTACACAGAGCTGCTTCCCCAAAGCTTTTGAAGTTCGCCCTTTAGGCTTTTGTCCCCGGCTCTTGTTAAATGAGCCTCCTGGCCTGGCTTTCAGCCCTTTACTCTGGAATCATTTGCTGTTTCCGGCAAGCTGATGTTAACCAGAGAGATGGGAGCATCTTGTGCTATATTGCGTTTGTGTTTAACCTGAGCCCACCGCTGTGTTTGTGGGTGGATGAATCAGTATGTGCATCTTCGCAGAGACTTGTCAAAGGGGGGAGTGTGACTTGCCCACCCCTGATCCCCCACTGTGAAGATCTGAAAGGAACAAACAGGCATTGTTAGAAGAGGATTCTACTCCCCCACCCCAGGGCCCTCCCTGTTTTTAGGGCCTCTTTGTCATTCCTCAGATTTCTGCTCTGATATGGAAACTGCTTTACGACTTCCCAGGCTTCACACAGGTGTCAGATCCCAGAGAGCCATCTGCTGGGAGGAGACCCCCCCTTTGGTAGGCCCTGAACGAGAGAAGGAGGGAGGGCCCAGGAGAGGAGAGAGGAGGGTGGGGAGGGGAAGATAGATGAGGAGAGAAGCCCAGATTCTTTCAGGTACCTGGGCTACCTTGCATTCAAACACCAGATGAGGTGTGAACAGCCAACATAGTTAGTACCAGGTATCTGGGTCTAGTCAAGAGACTTGGATTCTGGTCCGGGCTCTGCCACTGACTTACCCTGGGACTGTGGTCGTGTTGCTTTGCCACTCTGTGCCTCAGTGTCCCCATCTGTAAGCGGGGGCAACATGGTACTTTTAAGTAAGGGCCAAAACATAGATCAAACCATCCCCTGCCCCGAGGAGCTCGCAGGCTAGATGGCAGACACAGATCAGGGCCCATGCACTGCGTGCCCCAGAGGAAGGGATGGGCCACACCTCTGTTGTTACGTGTTGAACGTAGCGCGCACGATGGGCTAACGCCAGCGTGTGAGCCGGGAGGGAGGAAGGAGTGGAATGGGGGGGAAGGGGCTAGTGCAGTGGGAGCAGGGGGGTGCTCCATGTGGGTGGCATGGAAGGGGGCACAAGCTTGGGAATGGAAGAAGGAAACAAACTGGGTGGTGGCACCGGTAGAAGGGGCGGAGAAATGAGCTTCCAGCTGCAGGCTGGGGCAGAGTCCATAGATTCAATGGCAAGGAGGGAACCCTGGTATTTAGCCAGACCCCCCATAAAGCACAGGCCTCAGGAGCTGTGCACCCATATGGTGGCATAGCGCTTTGCGGTCTGTGGATGCAGTCGCATTATTATTATTATTTCTATGCCACCAGTGCCTAGAGATCCCAGCCCAGATCAGGGCCCCATTACGCTAGGGGCTGTACGAACACATGCTGCCCTGAAGGCCTTAGAGTTTAAAGAGGCAAGACGGACAAAGTCCCCATTTTACAGCTGGGCAAACTGAGGCCCAGAGCGATGAAAGGACTTGCCCAAGGTCACCCAGGGAGAACCAGTGACTGGACCCGGTCTTGTGACCACAATGCCACCTTGTGTCTTTGAAGTACTGCATGTATGACTTGAGCATGCGTTGATAAATCCTTCAGTCTCCTTGAACCTCTAGTGACGCCGGCGGGCTATTTGGACTATTCTAGAGTGAAGCAGGAAGGCTGGGCTGGGCTGGAGCTGGACGGCTCTGCGATCAGCCCAGATTGGTAGTCAGCGAAAGGTGTCGCCATGCAATGATGCTTAGAGACCCATGGGAAACACGTAGGGGGATCTCCATCTGACACTCCTATGCCAAAGAACAAGATGGGCAGTCTGGGCTGCAGCAGCTGATGGGAAATATCGTTTCTCCCCTTCTGGGTCCCTGCAGGCCAGGCAGATCTCAACCCCATGCTCACAGAGAGTCTCTGTCTGCAACCCCACCCCCACACGCTGCTCTCCAGCCAGCTCGGGCCCTGCCTCATTCATATTCTTTTTCACCCTTCTCCCCTGCAGGTTTCAGCCCGCCAAGGCTGCAAGAGCGGACGCTTCACCTCCCTTGGGGACTGCTGTGACCCTTGCCCCCCGGGCTATGGGGTGGCCGTCCCGTGCGGCAGCTCCAACACGGAGTGCGAGCCCTGCAGAGAGAGTGAGTAGAGGGGACCCCGGGCAGGGGAGCGCAGGCTAATGGCTGGGCACGGGAATCCCGGATGGCCCTTTTGGCCGGTATCTCGCCTCCAGCAGTGCCCAGGGCCAGCAGTGACAGAGGGAGGTGCAGAGACCCACCCCAGCGGTCAGTTACAGGATCGCCCGGTTGCCATGGGGATCCTCTCTTCCCCCATCTGAGATGCAAGAGACCGGTCTCGCTCTGCTCACGGCAGCCGGCCCACGCCGCGGGGCACGGGCCGAACCCCTCGGGGAGGGCAAGGAGATGCTGGGGGAGCTCTGAAGTGAGTGGGGGGGCTGGGGAGGAAAGGACCCTCGGCCCACACCCCTCTGTTCCCACCCGCTATTCCTGGCCGGGGCCCACACCCCGCCCCACCCAAACCCGGCACTTCTGCCCTGCAGCTGCTCTGAGCCAGAGCCACCCACCCACCCCCCGAGCACAGCTTGTCAGCCGTCCCGCAGCTGCATGATGTGGACCCGGCGGCTGAGAACCGGCCCAGCTCGATCCCCACATGACCTGAGCCAGGCCAGGGAGCCCAGGTTAGCGTTATTCCCCCTGGAGAGGACGTTCACCCAGCGAGAGGCATTTTGAAGCTGATCGGACGCGGTGCTGATCTAAAGGAAGCCACTTTCCAACGTCAACTGGCCTGTCCGTCCAGACGCGCTGCTTGGGTCAGTCGCTAAACAGACAAGCTGTGTCCGGGACTGGCTCATCTGAGCGAACCGTACCCCCTCCCACAAGCCCGACCGAGACAGCTGGGGCCAGTGCCTGGCTGGGTGACCTCCCCGGAGCCCCTGCAGTCAGCAGGAGAGGTGGTGTGGGTGACACTCCGCCCTTCGAGTCAGTTATTAGCACTGTGCTGCCTTTCGAGTGAGACGTGAAACCAAGGTCCTGACCACCCACGGTCATTGAAGGTCCCAACTCCGATAATCACATCCTGTCCCTTTAAATCCCCCTGCAGCTTTTCACTTCCTATTCTAAACGATCCGGAGGGGTGGAGGGCTGTTGCTGTGAGCTGTTCAACAGCTGCTATGTTCCACCTCAGAGGTGGCTGCATTTCATCAGCTGATAAAGACACCCCGGCGTATAGTTCATCAGTCCGTTTGTAAAATGCTTCGGGCTGTATAAATGCAAGCTGGTTAACATTAATGCAACCTACTAGAGCAGGGGTTCTCAAACTGGGGGTTGGGACCCCTCAGGGGGTTGCGAGGTTATTAGATGGGGGAGTCGCGAGCTGTCAGTCTCCACCCCCAACCCCGCTTTGCATTCAGCATTTATAATGGTGTTAAATATATAAAAACGTGGTTTTAATTTATAAGGGGGGGGTCGTACTCAGAGGCTTGCTATGTGAAAGGAGTCACCAGGACAAAAGTTTGAGAACCGCTGCACTAGAGGGTTTGGCCGCTTTTACCCACAATGCTTTGCGCAGTGGTAATGCAATGGCTGAGTTCAGACATGAGCCTGTCTCCCCCTGGTGGCAGGTGCCTGTAACTATAATAGCCTGCTACCCACAGCGGCTGGAGTTACTCCTCTGACTCAAGTGGCGGATGCTTGTGGTTCGGTTGCTGACAGGTGTGTGCTCAGTTGCCAGTGGCTGTTACACCAGGAGTAGGCTCTGAGCTCAATGTCTCTTCCCACGGCAGATGGGACGTTCTCCTCCAGCAGCAGCGCCACGGAGCCGTGCCAGCCGTGCTCACGGTGCCCGGTGGCAGAGGCGTGCACCCCCACCAGCGACACTGTGTGCGCCCTCCAGTGCCCCCCCGGCCACTACCTGCACGCGGAGAACGGGAGCAGCAGCCAGTGCTTGCCTTGCCAGGTGTGCGGGCCGGGCTACGGGGCAGCGACGCTGTGCGGGCCTACGAACAACACCGTCTGCCAAAAATGCCTGGAGGGCTTTTACTCGGAGGAGAAGAGCGACTCGGCGCCGTGCCTGCCCTGCCGGCTGGAGTGCCACGAGGACGAGGTGATGATCCGGGCCTGCAGCCCCGTGTCGGACACGCTGTGCATGGGTACGTACCGCGCCGGCCGCTCTGGCAGGCGTGGCTGGCTGTATTGGAGAAGGCGGGCGAGCACGGGGTGGGGGGATCCGTGCAGGTGGCGCGCAAGGGGCGTGTGCTGGCTTTTTTGGGGGTGCGGGTTGCGGTGGGGGCGTTGTGTGTTGAGTGGTACAAGGGGCGACTCAACGTCTCCCGCCTGTCGCTGACTCATGACAACCCCGGTAGCCAGGGCATGCAAAGCGGCTGAGAACTAAGAGCTGCGACTGGATCCGCAGCCATAGGCCAGGACGCCTTTGGGCCAGGCGCTGTCCAGACACAGAAAGTCCCTGCCCCAAAGACCTGACAGGCTAAGCTGTGTGTGTGTCCCCCCTCAGCCGCAGGGGAACAGTGTGTTGTTATTACAGCTGTGTAAGCTGGATCAGCAGCCCAGGAAGGACGGATGTGAGGCCAGAGTCGCTTTCAGGGCACAATTTATTGGGTGAACAGAAAACTTAACTAAATACCAAACTAAAGGATTTCCTCTGCCCAACCCGGACCGCAGATCCCAGCAGTTCATCCCTCCCCTCTCTCGGCCCCTCTGGGTCCAGGCACTCCTGCAGCAAACTTCCTGCAGTTCTCCGGCTCAGAGCTCTGGCTGGCCTTCATAGGGACTGACTATCACCTGACCCACCCCCAGCTGACCGGCTGGCTGACACCTTATGAATGAATTTGATTGTTGTTGAAAAATGGCATTAAAAATCAGAAATTTTGGTTGGAATTTTTTTAAAAAAAATTTCCTGGGCGTGGAGGTGGGGATGGGATCGGATGAAATTAGAAGATTTAAAATGTATCTCTTTTTGTTTGTTTGGGTGGGTGGGTTGGTTTTTGGACTTTGGGGGTTGATCATTTTCCTCTTTCCCTCCCTCCTTTTAAAAAATAACTGAAAGAAAGAAAGAAAGAAAGAACAAATTTTCATGATGAGTTGCAAATAAGCAAAAAACCCCTGTCCCATTTCCTGGTTTGGAATCTGTAGAAGGAAAATGACCTTGATGCTTTTAGCACATTTCTCCCTATCCCGACCCCCCAGCCTTTTGTGAGCTGCTCTGGTTAGGATGGGACCTTTCCTTTGCACGCTGCTGGGGGCAGAACCTAGCTGTCTTGTCTTTAGCCTGAGACTGGCTTGGTGCGTTGCATTGGGATAGCCCGGCTTGCAGGGATAACAGGGAGACAATGTCCCATCAGGGGCTCATTCCCCCTACCCTTCCCAGAAGGTCTTGGCATTGGACCAAAGCCACGTGTGCAGATCGGACCAGACCCTGGCCCAGTTTAGATCGACGGGCAATGGGCCCAAGTAGGATTTGACTCAGATTGTCTTAGGGGTCCTCTTGAGACCTGTTTTCCTTTTTCATTCCTCTCTGTCTTGTTCTCAGTTTTGCTTGTGCATTTACCGCTGGAGAAAGGTGCCAGGTTGGTAGCTCTGGAGACTGGAGTCCTCTCCCCAGAGAACAGAAAGCAGCAGGGTTGGCCCCCGTCACACCAACCCTGGCCTGAGCAAACCACGGGGAGGGTTGAAAAGGGGCCTTCAGCCTTTGTAGCTCATTTGGTCCTTGGCGCCTATGTCAAAGGGTCTGATGAGCACTGGTGTCATTAGCTTTGCTAGGCTTGAGACCTGACAAATTCGTGTCAGTGCCCACCACCAGATGAGACTAACTGCAGGTCAGTACCAAGCTGGGCTGGATTTGAACTGGCGACAGAGAGCCCCGGGCAGGCATTTGGAGAGCACCGAGCTGAGCGAGGCAGGGATGAAACTCAATTCCCACATCATCGTTCCCTGGAGCTGCCCCGTCCCACCTCTTCCGCCATTCACTAGAGCTATACTGTCAATGGGGAAAATACTCCTTGGGCAAGGAACATATTTGGGGCCTCCGTTTTTGGATGGCCAACTCGAGTCCCCTAAAAAGGCCCCGATTCTCAGCCAGCAGGTGCTCAGCACTCTCTGAAAATCAGGATCCTCTAAGGGGTCTCAGACTGAGCCCCCAAATCACTAGTCACGTCTGAAAATCTTCGCCTGTCTGTCTGTCTGTCTATCTAGCCCCATACACACTGTCTGTCTGTCTGTCTGTCTAACCCCATACACACTGTCTGTCTGTCTAACCCCATACACACTGGCTGGCTGGCTGGCTAGCCCCATATAGACACTGGCTGGCTGTCTATCCAGCCCCATACACACTGGCTGGCTCTCTATCCATCCCCATACACACTGTCTGTCTGTCTGTCTGTTTATCTATCTAGCCCCCCACACGCACACTTGTTCATCTGTCTGAAGAAGGAAAGGCATGTTCCGGGGAAGAGGATCAGGGCCAGAATCAGAATGGGAGGCCAGAGCGGATTGAATCCAGCGAAACCCTCCCACTCTCTCTCTTTCCATCGTCCTCTCCCTCGGGCTTTGTTTTAGAGACACAGTTGCCTTTTTGTCTGCGAGGACAGAGTCTCCTTAGGTTGCCCTTAATCTCCCCTTTGTCCTGGTCGCTGCGTCTTTAATCCCGCTCGGCTGTTGCGGGGTGAGTATGTGGGCTTGTTAATGAAACTCTCTGAAGCAGAGTGTATTAAAGGGCTGGGTGGCAGCGCCATGCCGAGGGGGCAGCGCCAATCCCTTAAGACTTCATTGTCTCCCCGGTCTCTGCCTCCAGCTTCCGTGTGATCTCGTCCTCGCCGCTTTTGAAAGGATCCGGCAAAGAGGCGTTGTCATTCCGAGCGCGGGAGGGGGCAGCGCTGCTGGAAGGAGGCAGCGTCCTTGGGCCCTGTTCACTTCTTAAGGGGCAGGGCGGGCGTTCGCGGGGAGGGGCTTGTCCCATAATAGAACAGCGGGGGAGCCATCTCCGGTCAATGATATTATGGGAGCAGGATTGAAATCGACGCTGGTCCGAGGTCCAGGGCTTGCTATATCTTGAGAACCAGCAGGGCAACAAGCCAGTGCTTTCTGCTGCTAGAGCCCTGGGAACTTTGGAGTTCGAATGGTGTACGGCACTGATCTCCGTACCCCGGGCCTCGCACGGGATGCTGGCTAGGAGAGGGAGCGTGGGGTAGTGGTTCAAGCAGACCTGGACTGGATCCTGCCACTGACTTGAGGCCTGATCCAAAGATTTTTTGGATGAGGCCCTTGGTGCATGACCTCCGGGAAGTCACCTACCCACTCTGTGCCTCAGTTTCTCTATCTAGGAAATGGGGATGAAAGGAAAGTGCTTTGAGCTCTTCAGCTCACAGGGGCTATGTACGTGCAAAGTATTGTGGGGCTGCCGGCTGCTAAAATTGTGTAGGGTGAAAGGCCAGTTGGGAATCAGAATGGCATGGCCTTTCATGTCCCACAATCCTCCAGGGCTAGCAGCGCATTGGCGGCCCCGGGACACATGTTTCCAGGTGTAGGCTAGTGATCGGGAAGAAGAAACTTCTGTCAGAGCAATGGGGGCTCAGGGGAGAGGTGGCTGCTTTGCACTCTGCTCGAAATGACCAAGGTTGGGCGAGTGAACCCCACCCCCTGTGTATTGCAGGATTGGGGTCCAATCCCCAAAGTCCCCGCCCCTTCCCTGCCCCTATTGGACCCCTTCCCTAAATCCCGGCCCCGCCTCTTCCCCTAGCGCACCTTGTTTCCCCTCCTCCCCCCTCCCTCCCTGCCCAGCAAATCAGCTGTTTCGCGGCGTAAGTGCTGGGAGGGAGGGGGGAGAAGCAGGACGTGGCGGCGCGCTCGCGGGGGAGGCGGAGGTGAGCTGGAACAGGGGGGCGGGGCCACAGGGAGCTGCCAGTGGGTGCTGAGCACCCACCAATTTTTTTCCGTGTGTGCTCCAGCCCTGGAGCACCCAGAGAGTCGGCACCTATGCCCAGGGCTCTTCAGGAGTCACAGGGAGTCTCTGCTGCGGTGATACCTGCAGCGGCATATTCAGTTGTTGGCAGAGAGCGACTGACATGCTAGAGATGTGCAGAGCTGGAGGGGGACTGAGGCCCAGGGCTCAGCACTAAATGCCTGATCTATTGCAATCAGGGGCAGGGGCTGAAAGCCGCCCCCTTCTCCCTTCCTCCCTTCCCCCCAGAGCTGGGTCCAGGAGCAGGGCTGAGTCTCCAGGAGGGGAGGGGACACGGACAGGGGTAAGGGGGCCGAGACTGGGGACAGGCAGTGGGGACAGCCGGGACCCCGGAGGGCAGGGGTAGCAGCGGAGCCCCAGGTGCAGGCAGCGGAGCTCTGCGTAAAACCTGGGGGTGCTGCACCCCTAGTTCCCGCACCTGTGATCAGGGGGCATCTTTCCACTGACTTCAGTGGCTCAGGCCTTAGGGGCGGATGTCAGGTGTCTCAGAAGGGAGTGGAGGAGGGGGAGTTTCAGGGAGGGACGAATGGGTTGAATGACAAGCGATGGGATGAAATCAAGGCGAGAAGGAACGGTCCCCGCGGAGAGAACGGCACCGTGTCATTTTCAGCTTGAGGAAAAATACCCAGGCTAGCTCCGATGGAGCCAGTGCTCTGAAAAGCGCCGAGCACCCCAAGCCCAGCCTGGCCGAGAGCCTCGTACGTGCTCAGGGCAGCTCACGCTGCTGCGGCTAGCTGGCTAGTTTAGCGTGCTCACTCGACTAGAGCTAGCGGAGCGGGAAATTGCGCCTTCCAGGTCTAGTGTAGACGTATTCTGAGCCCATGGAGGGGTCCCCTTCCTTTACACTAGCCTGGATTAGACACCTGGAAAACGGACTGGGCGGCTCCTGGGCTCAGATATTGTCAGTGGCTTAAGAAAGCTTTTTCATCTCCAGTTTCTCTTGAATTCTGGAACATGGTCAACCTGGGAGGAGCCGAGCCCCTGGGAGGGGAAGGGTCACAACCTCTGACCTCTGAAATGACAATGCTTGTCCTTTTCTAGTTAGTAGATAATTAAAGTCCTCCCCCTCCCCCCCCAAACACCACACCGCACAGGGGTAGAAAAGACCAAACTCATATGCGCCTGTCGGTGTGAATGAGAGGGGCTGGCGGGAGGGAGGGGAGGACGAGGCAGGTT